ATGTCCATCCCATTCCAACGTCTTTCCTACCCCCCCTCCCTTCTCCTCCCTCCCCTCTGCCCTATCTAGAGTTCGTCTATTCCTCCCATGCTCTGCCCCCATCCCCATTATGAATCAGCCTCCTTATATCAAAGAAAACATTTGGCATTTGGTTTTCTGGGATTGGCTGACTTCACTTAGCATTATATTCTCCAACTCCGTTCATTTACCTGCAAATGCCATGATTTTATTCTCTTTTAATGCTGAGTAATATTCCATTGTGTATATATACACCACATTTTCTTTATCCATTCAATCATTTTATTTCTTTTCTGAGGATTTTTTAAAAATCATGCACAAGAGACATATATGTGATCTTAAAAAACAGGGACTCACACACCGGCGTCTGTGCCGTCACTCATGAGAAACAGCCCTTTGCCAGTCAGTCTTCTAAATGTCCTGGGTGCCCCTGACCACCTCTTTCCCCTGCCCATCCCAGAAGCTCCCACGATCCTAACTTCTATGATCAGTGTATCTTGTTTTTCTTTATAGTTTCACCTATTGCTTTTCTTTAAATCAGCTCACCCTTCCCATTTAAATAATGTTTTGGAATGCTTTTCTTTTGGAAATGGAACCTCCCTATGTCACCCAGGCTGGTCTTGACATTCTGGACTTAAGGAATCCTCCTGCCTCATCCTCCTGGTTTGCTGGGACTGCAGATATGCACCACTGGCCCCAGCTTGGAAATTTTTTTTACAGAGATACAGTTCATACAACGTAAAATTAACCATTTTAGAGTGTAATGTTGAACGGCATTTAGTACATTCACAGTACTATATGAGCACTACCTGGACCTAGTTCCAAAACACAAACCACCCTCAAATGGAAACCATACCTATCAAGCAATCAACACCCATTTTCCCTGCCTCCAGCCCTAAATCTGCGTTCTGTCTCTATGGATTTGCCTATTTGGGGACTTTCAAATGGAATCACACAGTGTATGGCCTTTTTTGTCTCCTGGCTTCTTTCATTTAGCATAACAATGTTTTGGAGGTTCATCTATGTCAGTACTTTGTTCCTTTTGATGGCTGAGTAGTATTCTATCAGAAACTTATTCTGAAAGAAAACTTTTTAGCTGGATGCAGTGGCCCACACCTGTAATCCTGGATTGGACCTCCGTTTTTGCACGGTGGAAAATAGAAAGCTTTGCTTATTCTGTCAGTGATTTGTAGTACTCCAACTTGCTGGGAAAGGAAAACCTATAGTAAGGCTTTTTTTTTTTAATTCTTTTTTTTTAATCTTTATTTTTTAGTTGGACACATATCTTTATTTATTTTTATGTGGTGCTGAGGATGGAACCCAGGGCATTGCACATGCTAGGCGAGCGCTCTACCGCTGAGCCACAACCCCAGCCCTATAGTAAGGCTTTTATTTTTATTTTTTTCCCCCTAGTGCTGAGGATCAAATCCAAGTCTCGGTGCATGCTAGGCAAGAGCTTTACCATGGAGATATCCCCCCAGCCAAGGGAACACTGTATACAGAGATAGCGACATTTGTACCTGGTCTTGAAGGATACGTGAGTGAGCGGAGAATGAGTGGAGGGGGAAGAGGCCAGAGGGTGGCATGGCAGTTAAGGTGGTGTGTGACCTAGGATGATCATCGTAGGGTGAGTCCATGCAACTTAAGAAATATGGCGAGTGCTTTACAGGGAAGACATCAAGCAAGAAGTGTGGCGGTCCAGTCTGTCCTTTGGCAACATGCTCCTGATGTGGCCTGATGTAGGGATGGGAGGAAGGAGGCTGAGAGGCTGGGAGAGTCATGAGCAGAGGGGGAGCCTCATGTTGCTTTCTCATGCTTCAGCTGCTTCTTAAACATTGGGGTCCCTCGGTCTCCATTCTCAACTCTCCTCTTTTGACCTGGGGACGGTGGTCCTGGAATCCGCACCTTGACTTGCACTACCTTCATGCCCTGACCTCTCTCCCGGGTTTTCAACCCCAGGAGAGGTTGGCGTCTTTATCCAATATTCCCTTGGGGGGCAGTTCCCAGGGAGCATGTTGAGTTGGAAATGCCTCTGACTCACCAGGGAGATGGTCCACAGGAGAGAGGACACGTGACTGGGATTCAGGGGCCTGGAAGGGGGAAAGTCTGAGGCCATTAGGTCGGATTGTTTGAGAAAACCAGGGCTGTATAAAGAACAAACTTTCCCATGATCTGCAATGGAGTTATCATGGCAGCTGCTTAAAAGAGGTCTTGAGGGCCGGGGCTATGGCTCAGTCAGTAGAGTGCTTGAAAAAAAGTTGTTCTTTTCCACCCTCAACTCTGACCTGGGACAAGAATGCCGGTGGGCGGAGGAAGATGAGCCTGAAGTCAGAAAGGACCAGAGAAGAAGCCTTCTTCAAAGACAGATAAAGTGGCCTCTGGGGAAAAGCCTCCCTACAGAAGACAGTTTGCACAGTGGCTAGGTACACAGGCTCTGGGCCCACTAGTCACCAGTGGTGTGGCTATGTGGATTCTCTCTGCCTCAGTTTCTTTATTTGCAAGAATACCAAGCTGTCAGCTGGGTGCAGTGGCACACACCGGTAATCCCAGCGGCTCTGGAGGCTGAGGCAGGAGGATCATGAGTTCAAAGCCAGCCTCAGCAAAAGTGAGGCCCTAAGCAACTCAGTGAGACCCTGTCTCTAAATAAAATCCAAAATAGGGCTGGGGATGTGGCTCAGTGTTTGGGTGCCCCTGGGTTCAATCCCTGGTACCAAAAAAAAAAAACCCACAACAAAACAAAACAAAAAACCCAAGCTGTCAGAGTTCCATGAGCTGATGTGTGTGGAGTGAAACAGCAGAATCCTCAGCAAACAATAAGAACTCAATAAATATGCCCTTTTATTGTTTTTATTAACTCTACAAACTTTTCCTAGATGCCAACAGTTCTGTCCCAGTCTGGAGGCAGAGAGATAAAACCCCATTCCTGTCCTCTCGGAGCACGTGGTCTCTGAGGAAGAGACAGCCAAGTGGATACAAATATTGTTTCTGGGGTGAAAATTTTAAAATGGTGGAAGTTCCACTTTTGGAGGGTGAAAGGTGACTCTGCAGAGGTGATAACGTCTGCCTCTGACCTGGACAGGCGAGGGGAGGAGAAAGGGCAGAGTGGGGCTTTGTTGGAGCCAGGCAGGGACACAGCCGGCTGGAGCCAGGGGGTGTCCCCGCCCGAGTGCTAAGGGACAGCCGAACCAGATGCTGACGGCCCTACCTGGGACACTCCCAGCAGCAAACCCAGCCTTGCTGGAAGTGTTCCCACGGGTGACATCATGCCCAGGCTGGTCAATTCCATGAATCTGAGGGCACAGCTAACTCCTCTGCTGGCCCCCGGGGGTGGAGGAGGAAGCTCCTCTCTGGGTAGCACCCAGGTGAGCATCCACTGCAAGTTCCCTGTCGGCACCGGCTGCGGCCACTCCTGCCCAGCCTGGACAGGAGCCAGCCAGCCGGGAGCCCTCTGTCATCTGGTGCTGACCTGCATCAGCCCTGGCTTCTGAGCCCCCTCCTCAAGGGAGGGCTCTCCAGCCCAGGGTCACCATGACCTCCTTCCTCTCTGCTGACTGGCTTGACTCCTGACCACGGCATCTAGTGCACCCTGGCTGGTTGGGTTCCTGGCCAGGGTTACATCCCTGAGGGCCAGGGGAACACCACATGGAGCAGAGGTTGCTATTGCAGCCACAGGCCTGGGGGTGGCTGGACCAGGAGTCCCCAGGTCCTCACAGCTGCTCTTCCACAAAGACTCAGGACTGTACTAGCAGCCATCCCTGTGCGGTGATTAGTCCTGAAATTAGTCCTCCATTCATGGATGAAGGACCCCCTTCTGCCTGAAGAAATGCTGTAGACTCGGCTGGCTTTGCGGGTTCGTGATGTAACCCCTCAGCTCTGCCGTGGGAACCCACACGGCGGCCATAAGCAACGTGTAAGCAAACAGGTGTGGCTGTGTGCCAATAAAACTTTATTTATGGACACTGAGATTCGAATCTCATATCACTGTCATGAGAAACCCAGTGTTCTTCTTTTGATATATTTTTTCAGCTCTTTGAAAAGTAAAAACAATAGCCATGCATTCTCAGTTCATGAGCAAAACCAGGATTTGGCTTGTGGGGTGGAGTTTTGCTGTCCCCTTGGCTAATTTATAGAAGGGCTGAGAACAGTGCCCGGCCTCCTGTTCTCGGGCTGACTCTGCAGCTGGAGGGTGTGAATATAAGCTGTTGTGTGGCTGGCAAGACATTGGAAGTGGCATTGGTCGTTCTGGCCCAGGGTGGTGCTGAGTCAGTCCAAAGCAAGAGTAGCTGAAGAAGGGTCAGGACACCACAGGACAGCAGTGTCCAGCTCTGCCCTTTAACTAGCCGGTCTCTGGGAAGGGCCCTGGGACCTGCCTTAGCTGCCCAGAGCAAGGCCCCAGCCCCAACCCCAGAGTAGACCATCCTACCACACCCTCCATTGCACCCCTCCCTACACACACTCCCAGGGCTGGGGCCAGCTCTCTGCCCTGGGGCCCAGAGGACACCTTGCCCCAGTGTTGGTGACCGAGGATCATGTATTTGCCAACAGCCCGACTCCAGGACTGGTGCTTCCTCCTGTCTTTGGTCATTGGTCGGTAGCCGTCCAGCCTTGCTACCTAAGGTTACATCCTCGGGTCCCAGCCCAGGACAGGGGAGCAGATGAAACCCTGGGCTTGGGGCTTAAAGGTGTCCTTCTCTCTCAAGACCTGGTGAAGAGCTCCCTTCTGGCCTTCACCTGGGCCAACACGGTTTCCTCAGCCCTGTCTCTTGGTTCGGGCGTGGGATCTAGCACATTCTGGCTGGTAGTGTTACTGGGCAGGGTCCAACAGGTCCTCCTGCACCTGCCCAAGCCCTCTCTTATTCACAGAAGGCTTTCAGTCAGTGTCTCAAAAGCCCAGAGCGGGGGAGCAGGAGGGCTCCCTCTGTGTCTGGGAGACAGGGACTAAGTCCTCACACCATGACTAGCTCTTTCTTCCCATTCCTGCCTCAGGGCTCCTCAGGCACCTCGGTGTCTGAGAGCTGGCTGGAGAAGGCCCTCTCCAAGCGCAGGGTGTTGTATCTTGGGGGTGGTGTGCCAGGCACCTGGGCTCCCGGGGCTGGAGGCAGACGTAATGCAGAGGTGAAAGTGGGCAGGTCATCGTCTATATCGAGGGCCGGATTGTCCTGGCCCTGCTGCCTAGGGGGAGGAGCCTCGGAACAGGAGGGTCCCTGCTTCCGGGCCCACCATTCCTTCGCTTTCTGCCATTGGCGACGGGCAATGATGGAGAAGGAGTCAATGAAGAACACCTCAATGATCTCGATGACGCAGACGACGGAGCAGCTCATCCACAGGCCCAGCTGGCCACCAAAGTTGGACAGAAGCATCTCGATCTGCAAGGGAGGGCATGCCCCACCATCAAGATGGACCCTACCCTTAGTTGGCCTCCCACAGGGATTCTGCTCCGGGCCTGGAGCTCCCTCCTGGTCTTTGGCTTCAGGAGGTAGCTGTACAGCCTTGCTTCTCAAGGTCATGTCCCAAAGACTCTGAACAAGCTTGGGGGAAGCAGCAGAGAGGCCTCCTGTCCCTTCTCCCTCTGCTAGTTTGTTCTGTCTTGGGGGCTTGGCTGGCTTCTCAGGGCCTCAGTCATTCAGGTGGGATCCCCATAAACTGACTCTGCTCCCTAAGGCCAGGAAGACGGGCACCTTTGTAGACCCAGGACAGGTCCCAGAAGGACACCACTCACACTGTTGGCCGGGCTCTCCATGATGGATCTCTGGTTCAGGTCTTTGTAGAATATCAGGAGTTTGGCCAAATCCGTCCTGCAGAAATTCCAACAGGTAGGGCACACGCAGGTGGGTTGGCAGCCTTGGCATTCTCCCAGATGCCCAGCCCCTCCTGCCCTGGCCCTCAGCTTGGCCCAGGCTCTGAGCCCCCTGGGGATGTCAGAACCTGGTCCGTGGGGCCTTCTGGTATACCCCAGTGTGTATCTGCAGCATGGATCTGCTCCCAGACCATTCATTCACTCAAAAGCTATTTCCCAGTCTCCAGATTAAGTTGGTCCCTCCAGCCACACTCCCATGGCACCCTGTTCTCCATTCAGCTTTGACATTGGTGATTGTTTAATTGCAATCTCAAATACATAGAGGAAGACGAGCAAGTAATGTAAATGAATGAGTTACTGTGTTGCCAGGCACTGTCGTTAAGAACTTTATGTGAATTAACTCAAATCTCACGGTATCTCTATGAGGCAGGGAGGTATGTTTTAACCATCCCCCACTTTACAGATGTGGAAACTCAGACACAGATTAACTGACTTGCCCAAGACTGCACAGCTAATCCTGGTCTAAGCCAGTATTCAAACCCACACAGATCTGGCTTCAAGTTCATGTTTTGTTTTTGTTTTGTACCAGGGATTGAACCCAGAGGTGCTTATCCACTGAGCCACATCTCCAGACCTTTTTAAAATATTTTATTTAGAGACAGGATCTCACTGAGTTGCTTAGCACCTCACTAAATTGCTGAGGCTGGCTTTGAACTCGCAATCCTCCTGCCTCAGCCTCCGGAGTTGCTAGGATTATAGGCATGCACCACGACACCTGTCGGCTTGAATTCATGCTCTTAGCCACTGATCTAAGTTGTCCCTTGATAAGACTGCTGAACTGGAAGATTCCTGCTCTTTTAAAAGAAGCAGCTATTACCTAGCCATATGGTGCTAAGCAAGAATGGAGATTCACTGTTGCCAGAATTTTTTATCTTTCAGGAAAAGCTAGAAATAATGGGGTACTTGTATAGGGCTAGATTTGGCCTAGGGGGCATTGGTGTGCGATGCTTTGTTTAATTGTTTGGAAATGCTTGTTCTAAGCCTATCACTAGATTGAAAACCCCCTAGTGGCAGAAACTGTGGCTTTGTGGTCTCCAGAATGTTGGGGGCCAAGGGAGCAGACCCAGAGCTGGGCACTGGGAGGCAGTGACAACCCAGGGACATGTGAGATCACAGGGCCTGAGTGACAGAAGTGAGCTGATCTCTCTCCCTTCTTTATCTCCATCTGCTGAGGCCCCTGGACCCTGGCCTGGATGATTTTTGCTAAAGCTCCCTCAGAAATGATGTGTGTGTGTGTGTTCAAATCAAAAAGAATTAGAAGTCACAAGCTTCCAAGGAATGCTTTTCCAAGTGGGTCGGAATACATTGGTAAGCCACGAAATAAATGTGTGGGGCTGTGACCAATACCTTTTACAAACTAAAGACAATGGGAAACATCAGAATGCATTCAAAGGAATGTTCAAAATATTTGCCAACTGAGATACATAAGACTTAAAGAATCAGATTAGCACACTGTGACCAATTGGGATGGAAATACTCTTGGCCTTCCCTCTGAATCTGTGGGTTCTGAATCTGAGTAGTCCATCAATCATGGGTGGAAATTTTCAGAAAAAAAAAATTGCATTTGGATTGAAATGTACAGACAATTTTCTGTGGTCATTATTTTTCCAAACAATACAATAGAACAACTATTTACATAGCATTGACAGTGGATTAGGCCCGACAAGTAGTCCAGAGATACTTCAGTGTACAGGAGAATGCGGTGGACCATATGCAACTACTATGCCATTTTACATAAAGCACTTGAGCATCCCAGGATTTGGGGATCTACGGAGGCAGTGGGGGTCCTGGAGCCAATCCCCGGAGGGTACAGAAAGAGGACTGTAATAATTGGTTCGGCCACACCACTGTGTATCATCTGAAATCCAGCCCAAGGGCTTCCTAGAGCATAAGGAAGCTGTCTTTATTTCAGCGATATGTTCAATGAGCCACAATGCAAAAAAAAAAAAGTCTTTCATACCCGGGATCACGGTCCAACAAAAGTTTGAGCAGGGCCTGGTTCATGATATGAGCTTAACAAATATTTGTTGAATAAGTGATTGAGTGAATGAAAAGCAGAGGGCTTGGCCAGGAGGAAGGCAGCCAAGAAGCTTGTGCCCTCGGCCGACCGACAGAGGCAGAGGAAACCGGGTGGAGGTCAACTTACTTGTTGAACTTTTTGTTTATTTGTTGGCTTTGATCCCAGTTGAGGACAGGCAGCAACCATTTCTGTGTTGGAGAAAGAAAGAGTGGCTCTTGGGGATGCTTGGCTTGCCCCTTCCCTTCTCAGAAATCCCCCTTTCCCTGGACTCAGCGAGACAGCTCCTCCCCCAAGTCACCCCTCAACCTCCCCGGTCCCAGCCCATAGCAGTGTGGATAGCAGGGAGGCTAAGAGCAGGCAGTGGGATTCACCTCTGAAACCTCTGATGGCCACTGTGCCAGGCTGGTGGTCAGGGTCCATTCCTTAAAGCTTAGGGGAGGAAGGGACAGAGTGAGCGTGGGTGGCCCGGTCCACTTGCCCATCCCATCCCTCCGGGTAGGTCCACTCACCTGCAGGTTTCTCTACACACCGACTGGCAGCCCAGCTCTTCTTGGACAAAGGCCTGGTACAGCTGGTAGTAACAGTACACTAAGGGACAGGGTAGAAAACGGCATGAACTTTGGGGGCCACAGGGCCCTTCCTGGGGTCTTTGAGTTGCCCACGGAGTTCCCACAGTCTCACGTGGATTGTTTGATTATTTCATTTGGTCCTTAATTGGGAAGCATAATGTCAGTCAAGCTTGACAACAAGAACTAAAACTTCAGTTTGAACATCGACTACTTCCCTCGAGCATAAGGCAGCGGGGTGGGGAGCGTCTCGGGGCAGGTGGGTGCAGGGCTGGGGTGTGCGAGACTGGGGTGGGTCACACTCACTCCAGTTAGGGTGCTGCTGGTAGTTGCAGTAGCTGGCAGCCGGAGGCAGGGGCTTGCTGTACTGGGCACACCCACATTTCTCCACCATCTTTGTCTGGAAGCAGGAGTAAAGGCAGATCTGAAAGAGGAGACCCAGAGACCCCTGAAACTCCCTGCATGTTGGACACCAGGGAGCTCCCTCCTCACCTCATCGCTCATCCTAGAGGATCAGCCTCCCGAACCCGTGACCGACTGTGTGGATGTACCCTCTCGGGCCAACTGGGCCAGGGGTGGATCCCTGACTCCACAGGGACTGAGCCTGGGACATTTACTGGGAATTTGGAATGAGACACGGAAACCAGGTAAATGTGGGAACTGGAGCTGTTGCCAAGGAACAGAGAGAAACAAACACAGTCCCGGCATGTCCCATCCCAGGTCCAACCTCTTTCCACGCTGGATCTTTGGGGATCATAAGTTACCACAACATCCAGGAAGTGTGTAATATAAAGGCTGACGTCAGGGGCTCAGAAGCCAGGCTTTTATTTGAGTTCAGGTCCTAGTTTTGCTACCTACCTGCTGTGTGGCCCTGGGCAAGTCACTTGACCTCTCTCTGGTACTTTGCTTTCAGGTATACAATAATACCTACCCCATGAGATTATTATGAAATGAATCAATCAGATAAAGTGTTGGTACACAGTTGCTTATCATTAAATATTATCCAGGAACATCTTTCCAATGAGCTCACCATTTTTTATTGTTGCTGCTGTTTTGCCTTAAAGTCCATTGGATTGCGTTGCTGTTTCTTTAGCAGGTGCCAGGGATTGAGCCCAGGGGTGCTTAAACACTGAGCTATGTCCCCAGCCCATTTTTAATTTTTTTAAGACAGAGTCTCACTAAGTTTCTTGGGGTCTCCCTTAAGTTGCTGAGGCTGGCTTTGAACTTGCAATCCTCCTGCCTCAGCCTCCCGAACCACTGGAATTACAGGTGTGTGTGCCACCGCACCCAGTGTCTCCACCACCTCTCATCTCTGTCCTGACAGAAGCTGTGTGGAGGGTGACTGGTCCTCTAGTTCTACCAGGATGATTTCCACGGACCTTCTAGGTATCCCAGTAAGAGGCCGATTGCAGACTCCCTGGATGGGAGATGAGGCCACACACGTCACTGCTGTCACACTTAAGAGTCGGCAACCTTAATGCCTGCAGAGGTCAGTGATGTTCCTAATACACTAGAGGGGGTGAGAGCTGCTGAGCCCGGAGAATGCCCGGCTCCTTTAACAAGGCTCCCCCACTTTCTATGCTGCAGGAATATGGGCTCGATGCTGCCAGATTGCCTCATTTCCAAGGTCAAGTGCACAGCTTGGAGGGCTTGGGAGCTGCCCATCAGGCCCCTCAATCTGACCCAACCTTCTGCAGTGAGCAAGAGACACCAGTGGGCCCGGAAGCCTAGCTGTTGACTCCTCAGACACTGTGACCCCCAAACAGTTCCTCCCCCTGTCCCTTACTTGCACGGCCCCTCTGGGAAGCGGGCCCGTCTGGCCTGTACACCGTGTTCCTCCCAACCTCAGTGAATCAATTAAGCTCCAGTTACGGACACACCGAAGAGGACTGGAACCAGCCGGCATCATTTGCTCCTGAGGTCTTTGGACCAACCCCAGGTGTCCTCATTGTATATAGTTCCTGGTCCCAGACACACCCCAACCTCGATTTAACTTTGTCCCTTGGGTCCAGGCCACAATCCAGGGCTGGGCGCCCCCGCCAAGCCCTACCTGGAGGGAGTAGGCAGCGTTGTAGATGTTTCTGACTGGCACGTCACCCCCGTCCTCTGTGCACTGGCTGTAGGGCTCGCTCAGCTTGAAGGACTCCGTCTGCAATCACAGAGACCCAGACGGGGCTTGGCTGGCTGCTTCCTGGGATCCGAACAGCCATCTGGTCGTTCCCAAGACGGAAACGTCCTGAGAGCACCTAGTAGGTGCGTGGGGCCAATGTGGACACCGGGGGACACACAGCCATCAAGAAGACAATTCCCTACCCCATGCAGCTGACGTTCTAGAAGGGTAGACAAGTGGTTAATAAGCAAATGAATCACGAGCGGGTTTTGGATGTTGATCAACAAAACTGGACAGGGAGACGGCAGAGCCGGAGCAGGGGTAGGGGACACAGTCTTTCCCATAAAGGGATTAGAGAAAGTGTCTCAAAAAGGGACCTTTATGATGTTGTCAGCTCAATGTGAAATGATGACAAGAAAAAACTGGCCTTGTCAAGAAATGGGAGAAGAAGCCGGGTGTGGTGGCTCATGCCTGTCGTCCCAGTGACTTGGGAGGCTGAGGCAGGAGGACCCAGTTCAAAGCCAGCCTCAGCAACTTAGTGAGGCACTTAGCAAATCAATGAGACCCTGTCTCTAAATAAAATACAAAATAGGGCTGGGGAATGGGGCTCAGTGGTTAAGTGCCCCTGGGGGAAGAGGCCTGGGCGGAGAAAGCAGCAAAGATTTGAGACAGGAGGGGACGGTGTGGCTAGATCGCGGGAAAAGAGAGACGTGGCTGGAGATGGAGTCAGAGAGGGGGGGAGGCCGGGCCAAATTACTCCCTACTAGAAACCAGGATTTGGGCCTTCTGAGTGGTGGCAAGCCGTGGGCGAATCTGCTGGGAGAGGATCACAGGGGGGTGATTAAAGGGATGAACAGGGTCTGAGAGCTGCCTGGGATTCCTGTCCCTCTGGCTCTGGGTTGGTGACCAGAAAAGAGTTGACGCAGAAAGGGCCAAGGAGGTCCAGCCGTGTAGAATGACCCCCTGGTCATCAGAGGAGGCAAAGGCTCTGCGATGCAAGGTTCAAAACCCTTATTCAGCAGCGCACAGTGACTCACGCCTATAATCCCAGTGACTTGGGAGGCTGAGGCAGGAAGATCGTGAGTTCAAAGCCAGCCTCAGCAATTTAGCAAGGCCCCAAGCAACTAATATATAAATATTATAAAAATATATTTTATATTCTGTAAAATATAAATCAGGGCTGGAGATGTGGCTCAGTGGTTAAGCACCCCTGGGTTCAATCCCTGGAACAAAAAAAAAAAAAAAAAAAAAAAAACTCAACAACCCAAACCTATCCATTATAATTTATTGTGGTTCACTGAGTTTGACTCTAGCTTCATATTTGGCACTGCAAATAAACAATCCAGGCAAGCCGAAAAGGGAAAGCAAATAAGACAACAGGGAAGGGGATGGCTTCTCTGAAGGGGGAGAAAACACAAATATAGATGGTGCCCGGGCGGTGGCGAGGGTCTAGGCTGTGCGTGTGCACAGCGTTTCCTTGTTTGGAGACGAGAGGGAGGAGGGGTAAAGGAAAGAGGATGGCGGATTCGTAGGTGGGAAGAAAATGCTTTTCTCTATGAAGAAAGAATGATGATTAGGCAAAACCAGGAGAGAAGGCGTCTGAGCCAGGTGGAAACAGACATCTGAAGAGGCCGGGATCTGGTTCTGTGTTTGCCTTGTAATTCATCTGCTGACCCATTAGTCTCCCTCAATTAACTGCAAGGGCCTCAAGGGCAATTGAGAGTGCTCATTTTGAAATGTTTAAATAACAAACAGAAGCCAGGAGGAAAGAAGCTGGCTGGCCTCTCTGCCTTCCCAGGGTCCCCGAGGTTGGACAGAAACAGGCAAACGTTCACCCGTTCACTCTCCCTTGCAATCTGTCCTTTTTGCTACCGATAACCAGCTTCTTTCCAGGCCAGTAAGGAACACACAGATTGAATCGCTGGGTAGCAAACCCATTGAGAGCTTCTCGTGGGCCAGGGCTGGGCTGGGAACAAAGATGCTGAGATGCTGAGATGCAGAGATGCAGAGCAGGGGTTTCCCCCCACCAGGGCACCTCGGTTCCTCCCTTGACCCCGAGAACCAGCTCAGGGACCACTGCCCAGAAACCGTCTGGAAAAAAAAATCATTTTAATTTCTGTTTTCCAAGGACTCATTGGCCTTTGACTTTACAGTGATGCTTTTGGAACTTGGAGGTCATGGGTGGTTCAGGTTGAGGTAACCAAGGGTGGGTCAAAAGGGGACAGAGGGGGCTGGGGATGTAGCTCAGTTGGTAGAGTGCTTGCCTTGTATGCACAAGGCCCTGGGTTCAATCCCCAGCACCACCACCACCAAATAAATAAATAAATAAAGAGGAGGTGGGGACAGAGCTTTTCTGGGTGGGAGAGAGGTCTTTAACTCCTCAAAGACTCCACTGAATGAACTCTCCAGAGCCTGGGACACTCCCACCTCCAACTCTCTGTTTTCCATAAATGCTAGTTTGCGGAGGGCGGGGCAATGTTTTGGCTTCTGCCCTGACCCCTAGGGGCATTAAGTCAAGAGTAGGTGTATATGAATATGCACAAATTAATTGTGTATACACGTGTATTTATGTGCATCTGCACATGTCTATGTGGGAGTGTGTATTTGCACACGTGTGTGGTGGATGAGAAGGTATTTGTGCATATACACATGTGAGAATATGTGTGGATATATGCGGGGCGTAGGATCCATTTTTATCAAATCGAGTCCTAAGGAGAGAGAGACAGTTGCCCGGGAATCCTTAGCTCTCCTCTTTGAAGACAGAGGATAGGGCTGTGTCGGGGGCAGCACAAAGCCGGAGGAGTGGGGCAGCGGAGGGTGAGCAGGGTGGGAGGGCCTCCTCCTGCCTTCCCACAACCTTGAGGGGCCACTGAACAGCATGCCGCTCCCTCTTCTGGGAGGTGGGCAGCTCAGCCAGGCTCCTCTCAGACAGGGAAGCCATCGGACTATTGTTTTTATCTCTTGGTGGTAACCACCATCCCCACCATCTCCGAGTATGCCTCTCCACAGCCCAGAGGTCCTCAAGCTGTTCCGTCTCCATCCTGGTTTAGGGCTCACAGAGGTCTGAGCTGTGAGCAGGCTGCTCTTCCAGGCTCAGACCAGAGCACACCCGCATTTCTGTCCCCACCAAGTATATTTCCAAGCAAGACTCCCTTTGAGTGCAAGACCCTCCTAACAGCATAAAGGACACCTTTGCTCCTTCCAGTCCCCGAGGGCATGACAGAGATGCCTACTGACCCTAGTCAAAAGGCCAAAAAGGTGCCCTGAGCTGTCCTAGCAGCAGGAGCCCTGGTCTTGCTCTGAATGCAGATGTAGATGTCTTGATGGTCACAGCCTGGCTGCTTCTGACAGCAGCGATAGTGGGGCTGGGGAGGGAGCAGGTGGGTGGTCTCCACCTGTACAGGCCTGGGAGGGACGCATTATAGAGAAGGCTCTGACTGCTTTAGGTCTCCAGTTGTCTCAGGGGCATCTCCTGTGGTTCCATCCTGTCTCCTCTGACCATAGGGAGTTGGATTCTGAGCTCTCCTAAAGAGAGCTCTGGAAGATCCACGTCATGGTCAGTGTTATAGTCAATGGTCAATGGCAACAGTACAAGCAAAGTAGCTAAGGAGTCAGAAATACAGGATGAGGCTGAGTGCAGAGGTGCACACCTGTAATCCCCCAGGAGGCCGAGGCAGAAGGAATGCAAATTGGAGACCAGCGTCAGCAATTTAGTGAGGCCCTAAGCAACTTAGTGAGGCCGTGTCTCAAAAAAAAAAAAAAGAACTGAGGATGTAGCTCGGTGGTAGGGCGCCGCTGAGTTCAATTCTCAGTATAAAAATAATAATACACGGGGCTGGGGCTGGGGCTCGATGGTAGAGCATGTTCCTCACATGTGCGAGACCCTGGGTTCGATCCTCAGCACCACGTAAAAATAAATAAGTGAAATAAAGGTATCGTGTCCAATTACAACTAAAAAAATAAATAAATAAATATTTTTAAAAATTAATAATACAGGTTGTGCCTTCAAATAATTCAGTCGCATGGAGCTGCCTTTGATCAGATTACTTGGCCCGCCTGAGCTTCCGTTTCTCAAGAACCACCATGAATCCTGATTGAACACTTACAATGTTCTTATGATAAGTATCTTACATATATCGACTCATTAAACCTCAGTGGCAGGTCTACTTTACGGGAGAGGAACATGAGACACAAAGAGATAAGATAACCTGCTCAAGGCAATAATGGCTGGTGAGAGAGAGAGCTGGGATTCAAACCCAAGAGGTCCCCCTCTCAACTTTTCTGCACCCTAAGCACGACTGTGAGGATCCTTTGAGCCTCATGCCTGCAAAGTGCTTAGCACGGGGTCTAGCCCAAAGCAAGCACCCTATGGAGGTTCATCTTAATTTTTAAAATAGGTGTATCTTCCACTCCTGCCCTCATGCACTCCCAATAGAGCAACTTGAATGACGGATGTCCCCAAGTCTGTCCTCCAGCCAGAGTCTTCCTGTTGAGACCCAACTGACCACTGGTCATTTTTTTTTACTTCGGTGGTTCATGCATGCCTTAAACACACCAAACTCCGTGGGCATTTGCAAAAGTAACCAGATTCTGTGATTCCATAAAAGTCTAGTTTCTACCACTTGAGTCTGGACTCGTCCTATGACTTTGACTGCTGAACTATTAAGAAATAAACCCTTGAAAAGTGCCTGCTCATTGGAACTTGCCTTCCCTTACAGGATATGGACCAGCATGAACAGGCCTGAGCCAGCAGGTTGGGGTGAGAGACCTGGTGGAGGAGATGCAAGGTGGCCCCCAGACACAGAGATAGACCTCACACGCCACCCTGAATGAGCACTGGTCGAGATCGGCTGAGCCTGGTCCAGATCAGAAAACCCGGCCAGACGAACCAGCCCACGTGGCTGGCCTACAGATCGGGAGTTAATAAATGGTTGTTGTTTGAAGCCATTTAGTTTTGGAGGTGGCTTGTACCCAGCAAAAGCTAACCAACGTGATGTCTAAAACCGGACTCACCTAAAACCTCCTCCACCCACCACCAA